GCTGACGGCAAATGAGAAAGTATTATAATGTTTGCCTTTCTATTTACTAATAATATAAAAGCAATCATTATAATACTTCTTTTGTATACATTTAAATTCCTTTGTTTAACAGTTAAATCTGATTATTAGACAGACTCATGGGTCGCGGAAGCGCCGCCCAGGTTACTTCTGAGGTCTGGTACAAATATGACATAGACTACAAAAATACATAGGCTATATAAGCTCAAATGTATGCACGAGAAATCATTAAAAGATCGCGATCTTGATTCAAACACGCGCAATCTTATTCCTAAATGACGATTCCGCTATGTCAGTTAAACCTTTGAAATCACTATCACATCGGAATATTTAAACCTGCTTTCGCGCAGCCGCTGATCCAGTCCAGAGAGAGCAGCGCTCATCATGTAAGCTATGAAACAGTCTACAGTAGGCTACATTTCTGTATTGCAAACATTAAATAATAACGAAAGTATTGGGATAAAATTTTATAGTCTGGATATAGACTCTGATGTTGCGGCAGCCGCGATCAAAATGAGTAATTGACCTTTGGAACTAATGTTACGCTTCAAATATTATGTTACGTTATGCCATTAAGTGGCGACCAGTGACTTAAAATGTAGCTATTAGATGTCTGAATCATTCATTCAAGAGGTTCGTTCAAAAAATCTTCATTCGTTTTTTTCAAATGACATTTTGTCAGAAACTCAAGTAAATTGGCCTATTATTTTACTATTTTATATTATTTAAGTGTATTTTATATTATTTTAGTAAATTACATAATATTTTGTTTGGTTATATAATGTTTTGTTTTCAGAATCGAAGCCCCCCCATACCAGCCCCCCCCAAAAGCGCCGTCAAAATAAAAGTCCCGCCTCGAACACATCGGCCAAACAGAAAAACTTATCGGCCAATGCCGATATTTGAAAATATATACAAATATCGGCCGATATATTGGCCTTGACAATATATCGGTCGACCATTAGTGGAAACCATGGTCTGATTTTCTTTCTTGTCCTCCACAGGCGTTTATCCGCCGCTGTCTGGCTTACAGGAAGGAGGATCGCTTTGATGTCCACCAGCTGGGCAGCGACTCGTACCTTCTTCCTCACATGAGACGATCCAATTCATCGGGGAACTTGCAGGCCATGCCCGCAAGCCCCGCCTCTTCAGGAATCATCTCCTACTGATTGGCTGATCGATCTTGATTGACGGTTCTGATGGCGAGTTCCCTCCCTTCATCACCTCGGGGTGGACAGGAAGGGGGAGGAGCTATACATGTCAGCTGTAGGACACGCCCACAGCGACCACAGTGACTGCCATTGATACTGGGGCAGGAATGGCTGATGTCATTTCCTGTGTGGATCCAGATGTCAGTCAGAGCTAGAACCTTTTGAAAATGGATATTTGTTTTTTACCCAAGGCATTTTGTGGAGTAGATTTGGGAGGGTAGCGCTAACGTTTTAGCTACTTGTTGATATCCCTGAGCTACACCTCTGTAACGGGGTGTTTTGTTTTGTGTAAGTGTGAAATTTAGAGACAATTAATTGTAGTGTGATTGGAAATAGAAGAATGAGTGTTTTAATGTGACACAACCGTGTCTGTAAGAGAAATTGTGTGTGCGCGCGCGCCTGTAAATGGATGTTTTACGCCACAGCGTTATATGTTGGCTGTTCATAACATACATGTGTTGGGCACAGATTGCAAGGTGTGTGTTACAAAAATGCTGTGTCTATTTTACTTCAAAGTAACATGTATGAAAAATGTCAGTTTATGTTTAAATGGGCTTAATATTTGCAAAATGTCGATCGGTGAATCTCACCAAAAATGTCCAGGTCACATTTCACCCCAAAATCAAGGGGAAAAAAGTTACTTAATTTACGTGAAAGAAATTTTTTTTTTTTTTTACTTGAAATTTTCATGACGGTTAAACATTAAAAAAAATATAATGTGTAGTATTTTTATATTGTTTTATAAAAATTATGTATTTAAATGTGTGTGTGTGTGAATGAACACACATTTTACATCAGTATACACACACACACTATTATATATATATATATATATATATATATATATATATACACATACACACTATATATGCTGATGTAAACATAAATTTTTTCATTTTATATAATGTGTATAAATATATTTGTATATGTTGTAGAAATTGGTTCCCTGTAATAGTTTAACAGTCATGAAAATTGTCTTATGTCCACACATGCACGTACGTACGTTCTGTGAGGGGAATGGAAAAAGTGTGTGTGCGCTTTTTAAAGTACTTTTTATTTGCATCAGCATAAGTTAAAGGCAATATAACAAATAACTGTCTTATGTCCACACATGCACGTACGTACGTTCTGTGAGGGGAATGGAAAAAGTGTGTGTGTGCGCTTTTTAAAGTACTTTTTATTTGCATCAGCATAAGTTAAAGGCAATATAACAAATACTGTGTGTATATACAATGTGTTTTTCGTATTCCAGTGAGCAATTTTCACCCAAATAAAATAGGGTTCTTCATTTCTTTAGATTTTGGAGTGGAAAATGACCTGGACATGTTGTTGACCAGTTTGATGAGATTCACCTGTTTGTCCTGCATGTAGGAGGATTAACCGTAAAATCATCTCAGTAGAATAGACCTCCTATAGCAGCTCCCAAACGTCACATACGAGTACATTAATGAATCCAGCCTGTGCAGGGTTTCATATTTCCTCAGTTTGTTAGTGACTTTTGTTGTCTGATGAGGCATCTTCGCCTCGCTGCACCCTGACGTTGCTTTTAGTTTCACGATTTACTCTGATTATGATTCAGACCAAATATGAATTTGATTTACCAGGAAACAGCATGAATAAACCTCCATTGTGGTTGTGAATGAGGTGTGTGTGTGAGCGATGATTGACTGAACAGACTGAAGGTGGGCCGGACCCCGCCCTTGATCATTAACCCCTTTATGCCCAGACCTAGTGCTGTCATTTTGCTTAGCAACCCTCGCTGATCCCGGAGCCTGAGTCAGGCCAGCATCTCCGAACCACATGGACCGGACCGCGATCGAACGCTCGAAGCTTCCAGAGTCTATTTTCAGGGGACGAATCTCAGCTTTTGTTGTTTCCTCTCTCTAAATACTCTTTCAACCCCAGAAGCAGTTTTCAGCTCAACATATGGTGATCTGTCTCCAAGTGCTGCTGCGATTGTAGAGAATGTAGCCAAAAGAGAAATAAACATTTTTGAACATATTTGGATACATGTGCTTGCTTTCCCTAATTTCTTGGACAATTTCTTGTAAAAGCAGAGCTGTTGTTATTTGTTTGCTCTCAAGGCTCCTGCTGGACAGAATCAAAAGTCAGCCTGTATTTCACAGCCGAGTGATAATTATATTTAAAAGACATAGTATGGAGAAAAAAAAAAAACTTTGATTAAATATTTTATAGCTGAACTTAAGTAGGCAAATATTTACTATAGAAATGTCTGTGGTTTCATTTAACTGTATATTTATCTTTTTAAATGTATAATGTTACAAAAATGATTTCCATGAGTTTTCCAGGTTCCAGGAAATTATTTTTAAAATCTTTGATAATTCCAGGTTTTTCAGGGCTGTGGAAGCCCTATTTGTTAAATAGCAATTCCTAACTGCCTTTAAATGCTTGTTTTATTTTGGTCTATTACCAGAAATTCTTAAAGTACATAAGTGGTTCTCAACCAGGGGCCCACAAGATGAATTAACATGATGTAAGATGAGCAAACAAACTAAAACAGCTACAAATGAAGATGCATATATATTTCTTATTTTAATGTGTTCCCTCAACAACTGTGATTTTTATTTAAGAACCACGAACCTTGAGAGTGTAAAAAGTGTGATTTCCAGACCAGGAAAGTCATGGAAATGTTTTAATTTAACATAACTTGGGAAAAAAAAAAAAAGATAATCTTGAACAACTGGAAACAATGCAAATTCATAAAAAGTGAACGCTGAACATTCAGTTTTTGAAAGATCCAGAATTACGGAATTTTAATGATTCTATTATATATTGCAACTCTTACAGTTGCGGTAAATGATTGTATGAAGAGATACACTATATAGAAAAATCTTAGCTACCGAGTCCAAAAGGCCGAGACATTTTCAGCACCAATAACTAATAACTGCTTGCCTGATTAAACATTTTACCAAGTTTCATCTTCAGAATATCCTAGTTCATAATGTACATTTGACTTTTTAAGCATTAAGTGAAATGTGTAAAACAAGTGTCAATTCAGCTAATTGTACATTTTATCTATTTATTCCACTGCTTTCTAGAATACTTGATTCTGATATGTCAGTTGTGGCAGTCGGTGGTCAAAAGATTTCTGCTTTATATCAGGGCCCTGATCATCGATGGGTTTATTTTGTGATGACCTTCTAACTGTACGCCCACATACATCCTTATCCAACCTGCTGTCTAAAAATGAGCACTGACCAATGATTCTATTATATATTGCAACTCTTACAGTTGCGGTAAATGAAGTTGTATAAAGAGATACACTGTATAGAAAAATCTTAGCTACCGAGTCCAAAAGGCCGAGACATTTTCAGCACCAATAACTAATAACTGCTTGCCTGATTAAACATTTTACCAAGTTTCATCTTCAGAATATCCTAGTTCATAATGTACATTTGACTTTTTAAGCATTAAGTGAAATGTGTAAAACAAGTGTCAATTCAGCTAATTGTACATTTTATCTATTTATTCCACTGCTTTCTAGAATACTTGATTCTGATATGTCAGTTGTGGCAGTCGGTGGTCAAAAGATTTCTGCTTTATATCAGGGCCCTGATCATCGATGGGTTTATTTTGTGATGACCTTCTAACTGTACGCCCACATACATCCTTATCCAACCTGCTGTCTAAAAATGAGCACTGACCACTCTAATCCTTTATCGCTTGACTATGGTAAAAGCAAGGAATTGCAATGTGATTTCATGCAAACTATGTAATTTATACTCAACTCACAAATTAAAGAGACAGACCTAGTGTAAAACTGGGTAGTTTATTGCTTGTGTATGTTTGAATAAGAGATTCCTTCACAATCTTCAAACTGCACAAGCGCACCTTCAGCACGTTTGTAACTGTGTTTCCGTTCATCATGACGTCAGAGCTATCATACAGAGAGTGTGTGAGAGCACGCGAGAGAGAAACAGAGGCCCAGAGCCCAGTCTGACCACGAATAGAGTTGTTTCTGAGGAAATCAAAGCAATCGAAACAAACGGTGCAAAGAAAGAAAGAAAGACAGAAGTCAGACATTACATTGTAAAATCACATAGCAATTGATAGTTACAGGGAATGCTATATTAACATCTGAAAGTTGATTACAGGATATACAGAAAGAAAAAGCACGAGACGGCACCGATTCTGAGGAGAGCGCAAACCAGACATACAGCCATCTCTGTTTTTTTAAATGTATTTTTTAATATTAGCCGTCCATCCACATGCTCATAACTCTCAGACGCTGGCGTCTCTCAACAGAACCGTGTTTATCTCTGTGTTTGTGTTCACACACTGGAATCTTTTTGTACTGAATAAATACAATAGAGACGTACGGAGGGACGCCCTCCGGCCCCGGTCCGGCCGTTACGAGGACTCTGGTGCCGCCTGCGCATCCGTCGTCTGCTGTAGGAGCGTCTCCGTCGCAGCAGGCTTCTCTGAAGGCGTGTCTTTGACCGCAGGGGTGAGCATGGCATGCAGAATGAACGCTGGAGTTTGCCCGGCAGCTAAAGAGACGGGTGGGATGTGGTCAGATGGTGCCAGGGAAGATGGCAGCGTGACACCGGGCATGCTGGGAAGTGTGGAAGGGAGAACGGTGTGCATGGGCAGAGCAGAGATGCCGGGCAGGTTCAGAGGAGGGAGAGGAGGGAGAGGAGGCAAACCTGCAGAGAGGGATCACATCAATATTCAGCCGTTTTAATAAAGTCACAGAAATTAAATCAGGTTTTTCCACTATGGCTGGTTACTTTACACAGGGTTTCTGCAGGATTTTAAAAATCAAATTAAAGGCTTTTTAAGACCTTATTAAGGACCCGCACAAATAAAATAAATACAGTACGTCTATTCAGAACAGATCTCAAAATAAATCATGCATCTCAGATTCTTTTACTTGATTAAACAGGCCATAGCACACAATCAACAAGGTTTTAACACTGCTTATTAGCAAAATGGGAACTGCAAATAATATACTCAAATACTCTAGAGAAATTTTATTTAATATGTAATGAAATTGGTCTATGTGCCAACTTATGAAGTGATAATATGTTGAATCATACATTTATTATTTTACATTTTTTTATATATATTTTCTGTTTTCATTTTAATTGTACAGTTTTAATAATTTTATTTGTAGTGGGCTTTGTCATATTTATTACTTTTTTGTTTGTTTTTCCCTTAATTATGTCTACATAGCTTTTTAAATGTTTTAGTTATTTTAGTATTTCAACTTTAAAATGAAATGAGAAATGTTGCCTTGGCAACTATCTGAAAAAATATATATTTATTATATTTCAATTAATGTTTTTTTTTTTTTTTTAAGTAATTAAAATATATTAATATTAAAAGATATTTTTGATTTCTGATCCTCCACAGACAGCAAGGGTCCTACCACGATCAAGGTCCAGAAAGGTCCAGAGAACATAGTTAAAATAGTCCTTGTGACATCAGTGGTTCAACCGTAATTTTATGAATTTCTATGGAGGGCCAGAAAGCTCTCGGATTTCATAAAAAATATCTTGATTTGTGTTCCGAAGACGAACGAGGAAGGTCTTACGGTTTGGAATGACATGAGGGTGAGTAAATGACAGAATTTTCATTTTTGGGTGAACTATCCCTTTAAGGAGCTGCAGGAACCCCATCTAAGTGGGCGATTCTTGGTCAGAATAAGCTGTAATAATAGTTTTGGTGCGTGTACCTGCTGTAGTGGGAGGTAACCCACTGATTCCAGCTAACGATACAGCGCTAAGGTCCGGTAACGGTAGATTGAAGTTTGGGAGGTTAGGCAGGTTTGGCAGGGGAGGGAGGCCAGACGGTAAGGACATCAAACCTGAAGACGCAAAATCAAAATCATTTAGCCACATGAATATTTGAATATTTTACCTGCTGTGGAATTGCATTCACTTAATAAAAAACAGAGATGAGTTCATGTTCTTTACCTGGTACGGTGGTGGAGGGGTTGACAATGGGAAGGGGACCCAGCCCAGGGGTCACATGAGTGGGCAGCAGGGGGACTGTGGGAACACCTGCCAGAAATGACAACCATTTTAAATTTTGCACTAATTACAATTAATTAGATCATGAATTAGGGTTGGGCCGATAGACGATGCCATTGTCCATCGCCGATGGCTGATAGACATCACGATGTTGAGCCGGCATTGCAATTCCCACCACCCACCACATTCCGCCGCATCCCAATACTGTGTTCCGAAAGAAAATGATGTGTAATACGGAACCCCAAAAGGGAATAAATATGCGATGGGAGGAAAATATATATTTCAGTATTTTCTCTCGCAGTTATAACATTGGGCAATTATACTGCATATAAATTGTGGGCATCAGGGAGCCGCTATTATGCCTGTCATTGAAACTGCTTTTGAATGCACGATCGCTTTTTAGTTTCACTTTCGAGATTTGCGATCGCACGTACTCCGTTTATACTATGGAGCGGCAGTACTTACCACACATTTGACAAGATTAGATGTTTGTCAGTGGTGCTCAGGATCTGCAAATCATTCGCCATCGTCCTTAGTCATCTCCCCTTACTCTGTTTATATGGTAAGTGAAATTTTATGTACTGTAATGTAACAGTCAACCGTTAGCAATCGTTATTTGTTTTTCCGTGCCTTTCTGAATTCGGATTCACGCTTCGGGCACACCCTTCACTGTACACATCGTCCGATGCCAATTTGGTAGACATCGCCCAACCCTATCATGAATTATGCACAATGTAGGAAAAATATAAAGCACAAAATAAAAGCAGAAACAATTGACCTGTGTGGAGCTCGCTGGGTATTGAGGGCGGGGCAGAGCTGAGTGACAGGCCAGACAGACTGTCCTCAAGCCCTGTGGGAACAGGCTGCGACACAGGGGGCGGAGTTACTGCAGACAGCTGAACCTAAACAAAACATCACGGAAGTCAAACGTCTGACCAAATCTACCAGAATACAGCATGTGAACCTCACGCTAACCTCTGTGAAGCCGTCCTTCAGCGGGCTGGCAGGCTCACTGGGGGTGTGTCCGGGGAAGCTGATTTTCTTGCCCTCTTCGAAGGGCAGAGTAGGGATTCTGTGCAGGTAACCGTAGCCGATACCACAGCCAAGACTGTGAACGAAGAAGAATAATCATGTCAGACATGCGCACAGAGACAGGAAGCAGAGAAAGCGAGAGTGTTTCACACACACCTGCCCTCTCCACCCCAGGCACCGTTGGGCGTGATGACCACTTCTCTGCAGTTGTCCGTGTCTGTGTTGTAGACGTAGAGTTTCAGGCCTTTGCCCTCATGGGTTTCTATCAATGAGAATAAGTCCTCTGACTGGAGAAAGAGCACAACACCCACAAAATGAAAAATCTGAGAGTTTTGGGCCAGTTGATGAAGCAGTCATTTGCCTTTTTGGGTTAGTGCTGCTGTGCCACTAAAATTTTTACACAATGATTAGAACATTCGTTTCTTAATACCTTGCAACTTAAACATTTGCTTTTCTGTGATCTTTGTGATGTTCATTGAAGCAAATTCTGCTGATTTGTCATCAAAATGTCATCTAGCTGGCTAACACAGATGACTTCTTATTTTAGTATCATTTATATACTATTATAGTAATTATTCAGATTTTGAATTAGCATTTTTAAATATTTTCAGATTGATATACTATTATAGTAATTATTCAGATTTTGAATTAGCATTTTTGAATATTTTCAGATTTAATTTTAGTTTAAATTTCAGTAATTTTGTCATTTTTATTAGATTTTTACACTTTTTATTTTATTTGAAGTTTTAGTCATTTTAGACTTTTCTAATTTAAACTTATTTCAGTTAGTTGCCACGGCAAAATTTAAAAAAAATTATTTTTATAGTTTAAGTTAACGATAAGTACTGCTGTTTTCAACACCAGAATTGTGTTAAATTACAAAGCAATTATTTTGGCATTGTAAGCCATCGTTTTCAAGAAAATTTGTGCTCATTAATTTTTGAAATCAGATTTTAGCTGTGTAATTAACAGCTTATTTTATTTCTTTTTCTTTTTTTTAAAGGGAATTTGTAAAGTGAACATAACATTTATTAAAAAATACAAATGTTTCCAATATAAAATTTGTATATTGTATAAAAATAATGCACTGCTAAAAATTTTAAATAGTCTTCAGTTATTAATGGATAATGACCATGAACAATTTTTGGTCATTTCAGCTATTTTCTGTGGAGTCTAAAAAACCAGCCTTTGTCTGCAAACCATAATTTTAATCTATATTTGAGCTGCAGAGAGTGACATTCTTTGACAATTTATCCAAAACCAAAAAACCACATGTACTCCAGAATTCTAGTGCATTTCCGTATGTCTGTACACACTGATCAAGACATCTGAAAAGAGTAGGAAATGAAGAGAGAAACAAACCTCGTTCATGACTGTGTCTGCTCCGATGATGTAATCCGTGTGTGGTCTTAAACCTGCTAACGCTGCTGGAGAATTTGGCTCCACTTCCTACAAAAACAGGTAAATTATGCATGAAAAAACTCATGCGAGGTTTGCATTTCATCTTACAGCTCGACCGACCGGTCTGTTTTACAAGAACACGCCCTTTTCGAACACTTTGCTGAATTACGGCTAATTGACCAGAAGTTGTTCATCAAAATGAGGTCAAAGCAAGCATGCTATTTTCATCAAACCCATACCAAATATTCAGCTTTCTCTGATTGCATGCAGCACTCTTTCATTTACTCACCAAAACATGCCAGACGTTCTCATTGGCTCCCTCAAAGCTGCAAAAGCGGATGCTGACCCCCAGAAGACCCTGACCGCCCCACATGTTGCTGGGAGTAACAGTAGCTTCCCGCAGCTCCAGGGTTTTGCTGCTGTACACCAGCATTTTCACAGGTTTTTCAACACTAGCCTTCAGTATGTCTTTCAACATGTCATTATCCTTGTTCTTAAGGGGGGGGGGGAAGCAAAGATAACATTTATGGTTGACACATTTCTACTATAACTTATACGCATGTGGTCCAGGTGTACATATGTCAGTTTTTACAATGGCTTCAAATGTTGTTCATCCAATCAGATTTTAGAGTCAGGACTGTCAGTTTTACTGTGAAAGATAACATTTATGGTTGACACATTTCTACTATAACTTATAAGCATGTGGTCCAGGTGTACATATGTCAGTTTTTACAATGGCTTCAAATGTTGTTCATCCAATCAGATTTTAGAGTCAGGACTGTCAGTTTTACTGTGTAGAGTCTCTAAATCATTAGATAATGTCAGATTTTCATTTATAATGAGTTTAACTCACTGTATTATCCCGTGATTGTCATTATTACACCAGTTATTCAATACATAAACAGATTTTCCACTCGAAATTCCTAACACCTGTTCATACAGAGTAAATCAAGCTTGCTTCTTGGCTCAATGAATAGCCGATATATGATAGAAGACCCTCACTATGTGCAACAAACCTACCAGTCTGGTGTTGTTGATGGACACAATGAAGTCAAAGAACGGTTCGAGACCTGCTCTATGACCGGGAGAATTCTCCTGCACCTGCAGAACACAGAAAACACCCCATTTAACATTCAAATAGAACCAATGAATGACCCATTAAAACCAAAAACAAACATTTCAATCGTCTAGCAAAACTCTAAACTGGCATAGATCATGAAATAATAAGCTTTGCAACAAGTAAATGCCAAAGTAGACAGACACTTAACCTTTCTATCAGATTCCTGACTGAGATGTCAACCATTAAAATGAGCAGTCGTGTATACATTTACCCAATTATTAAAAAATCAGACGCGTGTAGGAACAGCATGTCATTTCCTACATGTTTCACGTGGAGCATAAGCAAACTGCTTTAAGTTGGGCCAATTCGAGTTATGACAGATTAAAACAGTAAAGCATCATGACATGTAGTAAGCTTCTTCAACAGTCCATCCAACAACAAATACAGAAAAAAAACCACACTGTACAGTAGGATAAATGAAGATGTGCTTTTTAAGGGGTATCAGCCTTTGCATGTCAAATGCTGAAAACTCCCATGCATTATATCTACATTTAACAGTAGAGATTTTCGTTTAGCCACATTAGCATTTAGCCACGATTAACAGGCCGCACTGACATCCCCGGCCTCGATTTGAACTTTGTGCCGCATGAGTGAAATGGAGAAACCAAGAAACAAACACACTCACTCTGAGAACGTGATAGCCCTCCGAACCACCTCCGGGAATTTCCACGCTCTGTGATCCCCCCATGATCCCCGCTCCGTGTCACCGGTGAGAATATTATCCGTTTTAATTTTTCTTCCCCTCCCACCAGCCGGTTTTGTGGACAGACACGTTGGAGTCTCGACGGCGGTGAATGACGTGGCAGTGCAAGAAGGAGGGCTCGTGCTTATGTGGCGCACAGGTGAGACTGCGGCGAACCTATTGTCATATTATGAATAAAGAAATCATGGTTTATTTCTAGTTTATAAGTGTACAACATGTGAACGATTGGATATACAAGCATAGAAGGCGTAGTAGCAATGTCGAATTCGTGAACGAATCATTCACGTGAGTCGGATCTTTTTGATTAGTCGTTCGAACCTTGCACAAACTTATCTGAATGATTCGTTCACGAGCTGTTCTCGAGTTAACAGAAACCTTTTTTTTGGGGACAGCCAGTCTTCATAAATGCCTTTCTTTTTCTGTGTTTGTGTGTATTTGCATATACTCATATACACATAATACAATTTTTTTTTAAATCTCCAAAAATTAGATATAGATTATAAATTAGGAGTATTTGCTGGCTTGATTAAGCAGCAGTAAAATTGTACAAAATGTTAATTTAGGGTTTGATTTGATGTTGTCCACTGGGGGGCATATTGGCATGTAATTTAGTTCCTGACAAACAGCAGAGATCAAATAGCGCCCCCTGGAGGAAGTCAAATATGTGCAACACGCTTCCAAATGCTTCATTTCTTTGTCACACTGTAGACGTGCTGCCTTCTTGTGGCAAATAAATGATAATACACAGAGCAGGAAACTATAGACAAACGAACAACGTGACAAAAGCCATATTAAATAGACTGTAACTCATACTTTTGCAAATAATTTTACAGCTGAACTTTTCTTTGATCTTTGTATAATTTTTACATTTACTTTTTGTGATCCAAATAAAGTATAAATGACAAAAAGTACATTGTACAGTATTTTGAACATAGTAACATGGTCATTTTTTTATGCTGACCATGGTATCTAAATATGGTATGACTTTTTAATATAGTAGCATTATAATACCATTACAATTATAATAGCATTATATCTATATTTCTCTGATAGTACCATGTTCCATGGTAATTTCATGGCATGAGAATATGATAATCATTCCGTATTAAGGTTATTTTATATATCAAAGTGCAAAGGTATTATCAACTTACACCATTATTTGTTTTTAAGTACTTTTTTGCCACAATAAGTATTTTTTCGAGGGCATTTTGATAGTATATTTCATATATAAAAAGGTTTATAGTGTCTATTGCCAAAATATATGAATATGCTAAATATAAGCTGTAAACAGTGAAGCTGTTTACAGCATGTATTTAGCCTAAATTTAGGCTAAATGCAAATATTGATTTTTTAAATATACTTTAAATGGCCAATAATTTATTGGTAGAAAATATATTTCCATAAATACATTTTGAAATAAATTTGAGCAAATATACTTTTTGAAATATATTTGAATATTGTCATTATGACATACCTTCTAGTGCCTGAGAGCAGCTGGTTTAAAATAAGAATGAAATAAAAGAAAACACGAACAAACTCGGTGTGAAGTGCAAGTTTATTATACGCTTTAAAATAAAGGTGCAAGATTTGTACATTTTAAAAAGACGACTAACAGAACATTCTTATACTTTAATAGCTTTTTATTGTGCCGTGTACATGTGTTAATAACAGTTTACATATAATGTGATTGCATTTTAAAGTGCCAGCCTTACTGAGGAGACCAGATCGCCCTCCTCACATTTGTCAAAAACACTTTGAACAAATAGAGAACGTGAAATAAACAGTCATCTTTCACATGTTCCAAAGACAACAGCTGAATCTAAATACCGCATAGCAATAAACCTTTAATAAATATGAATATGAACACAATCTTCCAGCATCCTGAGGACATTTCAAGCCTTCCTTCTAAGTTTGTGCTTTTTGCTTTATTGTTTTCTTTTGTTATTTCTTCTCTTTTTTTAAATATGATGCTATAATCGCCTGAGTTGAATATCAATACTTAGTAATATACATCTGGTAACTAACTACCTTCAGATAATTGATAGGATTGCTTATAACATTCAGTCAAAGATACACACGATAACATTGTAACACTGACACACTGATTGCACAGAGTTAAGGGCCTCAACGACAAACATATACAATATATTCATATTTATATAAATATGTATAGATTTATACTATAATTTATACGCTTGCTTATTTCAAAGAATATCGAGTATATTGTAAAATGTATGGCACTAGTTCTGTCTTTGGCTCACAAGTACACTACTGGACCATAAACATTAGCCTAAACTTGTTTGATTATATATAACTTGTCTTAAAATACAAATGAAGAATCGTTACAAATGAGAGAAATACCTTTGAACACCGTTGGCTCACAATATAAATAAAGTCTTTGTTTATAGATTTATATCAGTACATTTCAAACTGAAAATTTAATACTTATGTTTCACCTCACAAAGGTGTTGATTAAACACTTTACATGACCTACTACAAGGTTAGTTTAGGAAACACAACACTAAAATACAGATCAACCACTGGTTTACACACAGACCCCACTACAGAAAGAGGTTCGAGCTTCATTAAAAGGGTGGCGCGTCTTTGCTTGTCTTTATATTGTATTCACAAACCCAAGCACCGACTGTTACACATGATCCCAATGGATTTAAACTATGTTATAAGGTGACCGTGTAGCTATACGGGCTACGTAATCTGTAAATTAAAGATCTAAAGACATTGAGAAGAAGGACAGAACATATTGGACCACAATACGACGTCGAAACATAGCCATTAAATGTGTAGACCGGGCGACCGTCCTGTCGAGATGCCTGAGCCTTGAATATAGACACAGAGCTGCAGTTCTCTGCTCTTACAGGTCGTGACCCAGCCTCTCGATCTCATCGATGAGGAAATCGATGTCGGACTTGGTGACGGCGTGATTGGAGACGACCATTCGGAAGAAGTTGACCTTGTCTCCCTGTGGTTGGTATCCTACCATGGTTGTGCCACACTCCATCATCATTGCTTTGATCTTCGGCGCCACCTGCAGGGGAGACGGCGTAATTTATGACACAAGTTTGAACCAATTTTCTTTGTAAAATGATTCATTGTTTCAAAGGACTGGAAAAGTCATACATTGGTGGCACATGCTGACTCAAAACGGTGTAAATGGAACGAAAAGACAACCCAAATATGTACATATGATGGCATCCTCTACAAACTAATTGCAAATGTTTTCATGAAAGTGTTATTACATGTAATCTACGAATAATTAAATACCATTAAAGAACATGGGTTCACAAGATCAACAACATCTACACTCTTAAAAACTAAAAGTTCTTTATTGGCATCGATGGTTCCATGAAGAACCTTTAACATCCAGGGACCTTTCCCTTATTTAGCATTACATCACTTCCTCACCAATGGATCCTCTGCAGTGAATGGGTGCCGTCAGAATGAGAGTCCAAACAGCTGATTAAAAACATACACTCCAGTTCATTAATTAAAGTCTTAAACCGCTGCTTCTGGCCAAAATACCAGTCTATAATCCATAATAACACTTCCTCCAGTGGAAAAAGTCCATCTCCTGTTGGCTCTCACATCAAAATTCACCCACACATTTGTTTAGAGCTGTTCTGGACTGTTTTCGGTTGTAAATGGCGCTATTTCTCTCCTGATTCAGATGAAATGACAGTTTCACTGGAGGAAATGTTATTACAGATTATGGACTCGTATTTTAGCCAGAAGCAATGTCTTAATGATGGATTTGTTTCTGACATAACACGCAGCTTTTCACCTCACAAGGCATTAATGGATGGGCTGGAGTGGTGTTGATTATTGTGATGTTTTTATCAGCTGTTTGGACTCTCATTCTGACGGCACCCATTCACTGCAGAGGATTGATTGGTGAGCAAGTGATATAATGCTACATTTCTCTAAATCTGTTCCCATGAAGAAACAAACTCATCTTCATCTTGGATGGCCTGAGAGTGAGGACATTTTCAGCTGAACTATTCTTTTAAAACTGTTTTGAGCTTGAAGATTCTTTGGGACACCAAAATGGTTCTTCTATGGCAAACCCTCTTTTGGAAACTTTATTTTTAAGAGCATAGAGGCGAATCCTTGGAATTGTAAAATGTTTTTAACCTAAGGTTCAAAAAAGTATTACGTAATGAAGCCTCATCTGCTGAAATCACATGACTCTTTGATAAAAACTTCAAAACCACTGATTCGAAACAAGATTTATAAAATTCGTTTTGATCACTACCAGTTTGTGTGCTTGTTACTCTCATTTTGTATAATTGAAATGAGACGAAGTACCCTGTGTAGTTTCTCCCTTCGTTCGTCTCCATGTGGCATGCTACGCAAGCTTGGTGGAATATACCAGAAGCAAACATTTGTGTGCTGGGGCTGCAGAGAACAAAAGAAAGCAATAAGAAAAGTCATTACATGCAGTATTAGGTAAGCAGTTTTTTCAGTCTATACTTGAGTATGCGTGTGCCTGATACAAACCTGGCCCTCAAAGACCATTTCATATCCCTCACGGTTCTTGATTTTATTGTAGAGATATTCAGAAAGCTCCAGACATCTGTCAATGTGCTGCTCAAACCCAACTGTGCCCTGCACGGATAAAAATCACCAGTCAGAATAAAAATGTGTGTTTCTCAGCAAAATACTCATTGCTATAGCCACATAATTGTTTTTATTTTAAAATTTGGAAATATAGTGCATATATACACTGTAAAAAATGACTGTGAATTTAACGGTAAAAGACTGTAAAAATGCTACAGTAAAAACCTGTTAAATGGTTAATGGTAAATTCCCCTACTATATACGGTGAAAAACTGTATTGGACATTACATGTAATTTTACAGTAGTATACCGTTTTTGGAAGTGTATCATTTACAGTGAATAACCGTAAATTGACATTCCCAGAATTCCCTGCGTTACATTTCAAATTTGATGTTTTTTTGTTGAAATAACTATGTTTCTTCTTAGTTTTTTCTTATCAGTTTTGTATATTAAGGTTGTATGTTACACCTAATGTTGTTAAGGTGAGACACTGCAGGTAAATAGGGAAAAATATTAGCCAATAGTTATCACCTTACTTACCCAGTTGATTGATTACATTGATAATTGCAAACATTTTTTGTATTACAAGTTTTCTAAAATGTTATGTTTAAATATGCAAATGATCCATTATTTAATGAAATATGCTCTAATTTGCATACATTTCTAGTAAAAAAATCTGAACACTGGAAGTCAG